TTAGAGTCATGATATCACTTTCTAGTGAAAGAGTAGAAAGAAGAGAGAAATCTTATGAGAAGAAAAACCAGAATGGAATGAGACCTTCCATTTTTAATTTATCAAATTAATTTGATTAAGAAACAAATAAAAACAAGTAAGAACAAACCATATCCAGATAAAAAACGACTAATGACATTGCTGATGACAAAACTAAAGAGATAACGAAAATAAGAACAAAATAAAAACGACTAAGTACCTAAAAAGTTAAAAAAAGTGTATCTAAATATATTGTACTCTTTTTATGGAACTTAGTTGTTTTATCCAATAGATGAGTTTTCGAGTTGCACCTTCCTTATCTTCACTGTGCCAAACAAGAAATGAAATGACTAAACTTTTAAGGACTCAAAGAAGACAAGAGATATTACTAAATCAAAGGAATAATATCAATATTCTCCACGAAAGTATTCAAGGATTATTATTAAAAATACAAAAAGGAATTGATGTAGATGAAAATTTAAAGAAATTGAGAACAATAATAATGAAGAGTAAAAGAAATTGGAACAATGAATTTATAGACAATAATGGGACTCAAATTGTATTGATAGTATTACAAAATAAACAAAGTTCCAATCAAGCTCTTGAAATTATATTATGGATACTTACGGCTATTAGTTCTTTCGAGAATTTCGATTCACAAATTATCTTTAGTTATAACATTTTCTCAATAATAAATCCATTTATAACCAGATTTGATAATGAACTTCGTCTAACAGCATTATGGCTTTTAGCTAACTTACTTGGACTAGCCCCTTCATTGTCTGTGGTTCAGGTACAAGACCTTCTCTCTTCTTTGTGCTCTTGTATTCAGTTATACCACCAATACCCTTCTACTGTTGATAGTTGTGCTGCTTGCTTTAAAAGAATTATAGAACATTCCATTTATCCTTATGAATATTTTCACCAAATACTTACATTGTTCCTAAATACTCGACCATTGTCAAACACCTTTGTTGATTGTTTGTCATTACTAATTACACAAAAACCTTATTGCAAACCATTATTGTCTAAATCACAACTATTACCAACAATTACATATTTTCTCTTTACTAAAAACAATTTTTTATTTCATTCTATTCTAAATTTCTTTACGGAATTATCAATGCTAAATGAAAATTTAGGAAAGACATGTATTTCTAAAGAAGCTGTGAATAAAATGGTTGTACTACTTAAGGAATTATTAAATGGACCACAACATAATGAAAATGATATTTCACAACTTTTAGTTATTTTTGGTAATTTGACAATGTTTTATTTAGATTTCAATACAGAGTTAGTTGAAATTATCCAAACGGTTATTTCAAAAAGTCATTATTTTACAATAAAAGAATTACAATCACTGATATTTTTCCTGAACAATCTTGTGCTTCATGCAAATGAACAATTTAAATTAACATTATGTTGTCTTCCAATATTTGAGTTATATGGAATCTTTTTACTTCAGCTCTTCTGTTCCAACGATTTTCTTATTCAAACATTGACTAGAATAAAAGAGTTGTTAATAGTGTGTATGTTCAAAGGATTTGATGTTTTAAAATTGTTAAATGAATCAGCTTTAGAAGTAGGTATTTGTAAATTGGAATATCACTTTTGTAAACAAGTTTCCCAAATGGCAGTATCAATAGAAGAGTTGTTTATCCAAACAACAACACAACATGATTGGATGGATTTAGATTAGTTGAAAATAATTCGTTACAAGTAAAACTATTTGTTATATCTTATTTTAATAAAAAAGACCAAAACAAAAGAAAGAAATGTAATTTAGAGAGTAGCAATGCATTCAACTTCAACTAAAGCACCTTTTGGAAGAGCAGCTGCAGCGAAACAAGCTCTGGCAGGCTTATGATCTCCAAAGGCTTCAGCATAAATACCATTAAAGACTCCAAAGTCTTTAATATCAGCAAGAAGGCAGGTAGTCTTTACGACCTTGTCCATAGAAGAACCAGCTTCTTCAAGAACATACTTAAGATTTGTCATAACTTGTTTAGATTGTTCTTCAATAGTTTTACCAGCAAAATCACCAGTTTTTCTATCTAATCCAATTTGTCCACTACAATAAACCATACCATTACAAATAATAGCTTGAGAATAAGCACCAACAGCTTCTGGAGCAAGTGGAGATGCAACAACAGTTAATTTACTCATAGTAATGAAGTGAATTAAATGAGATCTTGATTTGTTTATATCATTTCTCTCATAACTTCGACTAGATTCTACATCTTTCTATTCTTCGATTCTAATTTTTCTATTTTCTTTGAAACAAATAACAAAAAAATTAAGATTTTAAGATTTTTTGTTTTTAAATATTAATCTTCAACAACATAAAGAAATCATTAGAAAAAGAATTAAATGAAAATTAAAAATAGAACAAATGAGATTATTTAAAAAAACCAATAAAAATACAAAAATTTTTCTTATGCATTCTTCTTAATTCTTCTTTTTTTATTCAAAACCATTACGAATAATAAAAGTTATTAAAAATAAAAAACTAATGTCATCAAAAAGAAAAAATAAGAAGAAGAATAGGCTATTTGAACTCAAAAATAATAATCTCCTAAATTTTAATAAAGTATTAGTAATTACGATTACTTTACTTTTTAATTATTAATCCTTTAAAAAAAAGAGATAAGGTAAGTGTTATAAGAGTGATTGTTTTAACAACCACTAAATACTATTATTAATCTTTTGTTCTCTTTAAATTACTAAGGTAATTTGGTGTAATATTCAACCCAATCTATCTTTTGTTTTTTAAACAAATAGATAGAACGGGGGATATCAAACCTTTCTTATTGATTTGATAAAAATTATATTCTTATAATCCCCTTTTATTCTTTCTCAACATCTTCATTTATTTACTTTTACTTTATATTATTTTATTCAATTTTATTTCTTGTCTTTCTATTCTTTTCATTTCTTCATAGAGAACATTTAAAAACATCATTACAAAAATCATAAGGGTTTGTAGCTGTCGTGTGTTTCATATTAATGTCACTTTTAGTTTAGTTTATATTATATATACTATATAAATTATTAGTTCTCATTTCTCTTTATGGAAGAAGATTCTTAACATCTTATATTAAGTTGTTTCAAATTTAATCCTAATGAATTAAAAACTATTCAAAAGAAAATATAATAAAAAAAAATTAAGCTAATAGTAAAAAGGGCAAATTGGTGATGACAAACAAGACATAGTAAACATAAAAAAGATTTCGTAAATGGTATGGTTATGAAAAGAACAAAAAATGAAAATGTAAAACAAAAATAGCAAACCTAGAAGGTATTTAAACTTGGAGTTACTCAAACGTTTTAAGTCTCCAATGCAAACCTCTAATTTTAATACCTATGAAAGAAAATTTGAATCCCAGTGTCATTGTACTTGTTGTTTATGTAAAAGAGTTGTACTTCTTACAAATGGTATAAAGAAAATAAAAACTACAGACCTTTGTATTCTTATTCTTAAATCTTTAAAAGAACTAAAACCAGAAAAAGAATTTTATTCAATGAAGCAAGACATTTATGAATTTGTTACTGAACATTGGAATTGTTTAAAACATTTTAGTGTTTTTACTAAACCACATTGGAAAAAAATATTATTAGACACTTTTAATCATTGTACTAATATTGAAACTGGTAAAAATTTTAAGTTAAGAGCTTCTTTTAGGATCCGTAGTAAAACTAGTAATGATAATAAAAGTGAGTCGTCTGAAAGTGGTACTAAAACTGTGGTTAATTCTATTGAATTATCTCCTTCAATTCATTCACAGAATTCCTCACTTGAAATTGATAAACCTCAATATATTCAAATGTTTTTTCAATTACAGTCATTATTATATAATAACGCTGCTTTATTAAAAAAATATTATAGGCTATTAGGAGAAAAAGAAGATACTTCAGAACGTTGGAGAGTTCAATACAATACTCTTTCTAGAAGAGCATTTAATTTTGGTGTTTATGCTCAAAATATTCAATACTTTCATTAATTAGAGCCTTTTCTGTTTTAATGGCTCTTTCTTGTGTATAAAACAAAAACCTTAATTTTTATTCATTTTCTGTTTTTTTGGTTTTCTTTCTTTTTCTTTTTTTTAAAAAATAAAATTTTTGTTTCACTTTGAATTTATTTTTTTTTATTTTTGGTTTTTTTTTTAATTATAATAATAATAACGTATATTTTATTATTATTATTTCATAAAAAAAATCATATTTTAATGAATTATTGATAATACTCGAATTTATTCATTTAATAACTAATTGTTTCTTAATAACTAATTTGAAATTGTCAATAACAACAAAATATTAATTTACAACACTTTTTATTAAAAACTTTTAAAATAATAACTTTATTAAAACTTCATTTCTGATTAATTTCTATAATCTTTTGAATAAAAATTGAACAAATCACCATTTTTCAGAACAAAAAAGTTAGTTTACATAAGTGAATTTTTAGTTATTAACTAATATCCACAGAACTTATTTTTAAAAAAATTACCAAATTTAATGTTAAATAAAAATGAGAAAATGATGAACTAAAGATTTTATAAGTTTGAGACAGTTTTAATAACAAAATCACTTTTATTAACATCACTGAAGTATTAAAAATTAAATACTTATTAATAAGAAAAGTTAGAAAAAAAAAAGAAAAACGTAATTCAAGAGATTGAAAAAAGAGATAATAAAAAATCACGTAAGTAAGAGAATCTTTCAATAATTTATCTTTTTTAAGATATTTTATTTACAAATAAAAGGCGAAGTAATAGAAATTTTAGTAAAAATTAAAGTTTTAAAAGAAAAAAAGGAAAAATTTCTTTGTTGAAGAACTAATAAAAATAGAATGTCTATTAAACAATTAAGTGAAAGTCCAACTAATCTAGAACCAAATTATCCACATCAATTGCTTTTACAAGCATTTTATTTAACTGTAACGTCATCTGAAAATGATCCATTGCATATTAATATTAAATGTGGAATTAATGATGAAAGTAGAAATAATATTGCAAATGTAATGTACTTTATTTATCCTGATGTTCCAAAAATTGTAAAGAAAGAAGACCTTTTAACTATTCCATCTTTAATTCATTCATTTGTTTCAACAGATGAAAATGGGAAACGATATTATTATTATGTTCAACGATGGAGTGATGATAAAACTCCAAAGATATTAATTTTAGTGAGTGGAAGATATTCTTCTTTATATATTCGTCTTCTTCCAGTATTAAAAGAAGTATTAGATACAAAAGGTTTAACACATCTCATAGATCTTTTTGACCAATTAAAAGAATGTGAATATCCTGAGTCTGATTTAGTTATTAATGAATCTACTATAATTTCTCATAGCCCAGAAATTCCTATTTTTCCTATATTAAAAAAATTTGGTCCTGCAGATTTTGTTGAATTACTTGGTCGTATTTTACTTGAAGAAAATACAATGTTTTTGGTAGAATCAATTGATCAAGGAATGCCAATTATTCAAGCCTTTTTACAAATTTTAATTCCATTTGAATGGCAAGGTGTTTTAATTCCTATGTTACCTATAGAAGAAAGTTATGCTGGTTTTGCTGGTTGTCCAACACCAATGCTTTTTGGAACAACCCAACAAGGATTAATAAATATTAATAAGTTGTATTCAAATACTTTAGACATTAATATTTATAATGTTTCAACTTCTAAATTTCAAAAACGTAAGAGTGGGTTAAATCTCTTTGCCTTTAAAGAAACTGGTAGATTATTAAATCAACTAAAAAGTATTATTGATAACCCATCATTTGAAAATCCTGATAGTCTAATTTGTAATTGTTTTAGTCAATTATTCCTTGATCTCTTTGGTAGGTATTTTGCTTTCTTTGAACAACAAAGTATTGGTTTTGTGTTTAATGATAAAAATTTCATTAAATCAAGTTCTAATGAATTACAAATATTTTTAACTGCATTTAATCAATCTCAAATGTTTGAACGTTTTATTCAACATAGAATTAATTATATTTCTGTAATGCCTGAATTTAGAAGGTCTATCTTCGTTGATTGTCCATTATTTAAGTCAAAGATAAAACCTTCATTCTTAAAAATGAAAGATATTTCTAATGAACCTCAAAAATGTTGTGGTTGTGGTCAGAAGATAGATATGGATAGAGCAGTTTGTGTATATGGAAAAAATTTATTATTTCATACTGAGTGTTTGAGGTGTAAGTCTTGTGATTGTTTTCTTTTTGAAAAAGAAAGTTTTGATAGACAGTGTATGGATTGCTTAGAAGAAGACTGTGATGAATTAGAAAATCAATTTGATAATACTCGTCGTTGGGAACAAGTTGACATCTCTATTAATAAACATAAATCAGATACTGAAATTCTCCAACGAAGTTCATTCTCTAAGATTCTTCAATGTTTATCTTTTTATGAAACAGAAAAAAGTGATTCGCAACGTCAAAAAGATGAATCTGAACAAATGAGAAAATCTTCGGTTTTCTTAAATGGAACAACAGGTTCAATCTTCTTAACTCGTTCATCAAAAATTGGAACATTTTCTGCAACTTTAAATCCAAACGATTCGAGAAAAACAATCATTGTTAAAGAAGAAAATCAACCCTTAACTCAAATAACACAACCAAAAATTTCATTATCCGTTTCAACATATTATAGCGGTTCACCTATTTCTTCTACTCCAACTTCGTTTATAGATGCAAATGGAAAGAAATATCAAGTTCCACTCAAGAAAGCTCCTATCCCTCCTAAAAAGGAATATTAAGACATTATTTTACTAATGTAAAATGAAATTTGTATTGATTAAACAGTTATTTGAAGAAATGGTTTGTTTCATATATCAAAAGACTTAAAAATTAAGGCTTATAAATATTCAACTCTTTGACAATCCTTTTTAACCTCTTTCACCATTAAATAATGACTATTCAATTTTCTTTTAATAACTTCATAATAAATATAAGTATTTATCTAATATCACCTCAAAATTGTTTTGGAAACAAAATTATTTCAAATAAACTTTTGTGGTTTTACTCCTTTTCATTGAGCCAATATGCTTCTTCTGTGTTTAAGTATTATTTAATTCTGTCTCTTCAATTTGTCTTATTTTTTTATCATTATTAATGAAATAAAAAAACCCTTTAGAAAAAAAAAAAGAAACAAAACAATTTTTTTGATTCTTGTATTCTTAGAACTGGTTAATAATATTGAATTATTAGGTATAATTCCTGAAATTTTAAAAAACTTAAAATTAAGTGCTTTATACGCATATTCATTAAAGAATCTTCAGAAAGGAAAGAAATAAAAATGGAGTTTGTTTTAAGAATGAAATTAGAAGCCAAAAGAAATTATCCAATTCTTCTCCAAAAGAACTGAGTAATTAACAGAAACTTAAAAAAATAACAAAAATATGACTAGTGTTGTTTATAATGAGAAGTTATATAATTTGTCTTTTCCAGTCACTTGTGATCAAGTAGTCAAAGAGATTGGAATACAAGGAACTCCAGCAGTGATAGTAGGACTAAAAGTTAATGGTATTGTACAGTCTTTAAATAGCTATATTCCAACAAAAAGATGTACTATATCTCCATGTTATATAAGATGTGTAGAAGGACAAAACATGGCTCGTAGATCAGAAATATTAATTGCTCGATATGCACTTCATAAGTTATACCCAGATGTAGAGATGACTGTTATTGCTGATTATTCAGACTGTACTGAGTTTTGTGTTAGTCCTAAGTTGAATGAAGAACAATTGAAAGAATTAAATAAAGAATTTAATGAACTTCATACCCAAACTATTTCTAATGGACAGTTACCTCATTCTTATCTTAATTTGCATTTTGTTGAAACTCACCAACCTCATTCTAAGTCATTAATAGAGTCATTAAATGAACCAACATACCCATGTGCTATTATTAATAACTTTGCAACTCTTTCATTAGACCAACCATATATTTCAGAACCATCAATATTACCTGAATACTCTCAACTTAAGTTAGAAAGTAATGGTTCTTTATTAGTTTGTTTCCCTAGTTTAATTCATACCGATTCATATAAATTTAATGATGCTCCAATTATTACATGTCCACATGAACTTAATAAAGAATTGGATGTTGGTTATGTTAATAAACAAATTGCACAAAAAACTATTAATGAATTAATGATTGAAAGTGAGAATTATCATGTCCAACAGTTAAGTAAGTTAATTGAGGTGATTAAATCACGACCAACACAATTGGTATTAATTGCTGGTCCATCAAGTAGTGGTAAGACAACATTTGCCCATAAACTAGGATTAGGACTTCAAGGAGTTGGATATAATCCATTAGTACTTTCTGTAGATAATTATTATGTCCATAAAGACTATTGTCCCCTTGGTCCTGATGGAAAAAGAGATTGGGAATGTATTGAAGCACTAAGACTTGGATTGCTTAATGATCATTTATGTGGATTAATGCAAGGAAAGGAAATAGTTGTACCTCAATTTGATTTTGCTACTTCAACACCACTTCCTAATAAAGGAACTAAGGTGAAGTTAGAGAAGAATGGAATTATTATTATGGAAGGAATTCATTGTTTGAATGAACGATTAACAGAAAAAATACCACATGATAAAAAAGTTAAAGTATTTATTGCTCCATTATCAAATAAATTATGTTTGAATGATGATGTAATTTTAAATAACAATTTCTTAAGAATACAAAGAAGAATGGTAAGAGATAATATATTTAGATCTTATAGTGCCTCAAAAACATTAGGAGTTTGGGATGCTGTTGCTAGTTCTGAAAAGATCTGGATTTATCCATACATTAAAGATGCTGATTTTGTATATTCTACCTTTTTAACTACAGAAGTTAATGGGTTAATTACATTTTCATTGAATTTACTTAGAATGGTATCAAGTGATGATAAAAATTATGGATTTGCACAGTCATATAAAAGATTATTACAGTATTATTTACCTATGGATTCAGTCGACTTCGCTGGTAATTCTATTCTTAGAGAATTTATCGGAAATGGAGATTTTGACTGTCATTAATAAATGATTGGCTCTAATTTTTCAAATTATTAACTTCCTATTTTTCTAACTTTTTTCTTCATTTCTTTTCTAATATAATTTTTTTTATTTTTTTCATGTTTTTTAATATTTATGATTAATATTTTTTTCTTATACTTCTTTTTTTAATTCTCATTTATGTTTTATTTCAACTCATACAGTCTTTCATTTCTATTATCAACTATATAA